ATTGAGTAAAATGTCTCAGAAAAGATCCCTTAACCCAGCTATAAAGCAGTCTATTTATGTTTTTTCATATTTTCTGTAATAAACAACTTTTTCGAGAAAAAAATTTTTGTCCGGATTTAAGTGGCGGACCCTGTATATTGCTTATTCTTCTAACGTTGTGTATAATAAACGAATTAGTTTGTACAAATGATTTCTTTATTATTACAACCTGTTGTCTAATCCAACTCTGATTTTCTCTCGATACACAGAACTATATTAAGTAATAAAATATGTATACTTCGTCATTGTTATTTCTTGCCATCAACCTTTGCAACTTACAATTAGTCATATTTGTCTTGATTTGCAGTGCGTTCTACACATATGATATAAAATTGCAATTCTGCAACTGTCTCGTCTTACTCGCTTTACTTTGCATCGCGTTCCGAAACATAATATAATCACACATTTGTGTGTAAGAATATGTTAAACAAAACATAATCAATCCACGTTTAATCCCGATTGTACCATGTTCAATAATACTTGAACCGTGTGTAACCACAATTACACCGCAAAACAAACCACGTTTAACCTCGGTCGTATTATAATTAACCCATTTTCAATTATAATCAAACCACGTTTAACCAACATCGAACCACGTTCAACCATAATCAAACTATGTTCAACCATAATCGAACCATAAACAAACCACGTTCAACTATTATTGAACCACGTTCAATTATAATCGAACCATAAACAAATTGCGTTCAGTTATAAAACCATGTTAAACCGCGTTAATTTATATAAACATATGCTATGGAAGAGAAGGGTAGTAAATGTACAAAGTTGTTTTGTATAACAGTTTATTGTCGTTTAGACCACCAATTAAATATTGTAAATACATTTTGTAATGCACAATGTTTCACAAGTTCTTCACATCGTAAACACTTCAATACATTCAGTTTATTTAAAGAAGCAATATCATCGTAATCGGCACCCAATGTTTTAATAATTTATCATGTCGTACGTCATTATCAAGAATATCAGCTAGCCAGTTACATTTTTCGAAACCTTTAACATAGACGAGTGAAGACGCGTCGTCATCATTTTCTGCAATGCCGCAAATAGCTGTTGTAATCAAATTCTTTGCTTTGCGGTATGCAACATTTCCATCCTTCCAACGCAAACCATGATGATACATCATCAGCCAAGAAGCTGTTGATCTGCCTGATCTTGCGAGTAGACTCCACGGGAAGGGACTTCCAAAAATGTAATGCGAGAAAACAGTGCTCTTTTGCAATACCGCTACTTCCTTGACAATAAATCTTTTCCCGACTACAAATCCTTGCAGGTCTACAAACGTCGGCACAACCATGTTGACGTAATCGTGTGACCAACAAAAGACAAATGCTATCTATCGTAAAGTACTTTCGCTCTTAAACGATTTTNAGATTATAGAGGGGAGAAGCGCTGATGTTGCAGTTTATGTAATTTTGCGCACTACGTTGGTTAACGGATTGTATTCAATAACACGATCGTGCAAAATGAGACAATAGGCTGTAGTATTTTTTGATATATTTTCTTTGCAATCGAATTCAATTCGCACATCGACGGCTGCACTTTTGACCGCCTCGTTTTGACGCAAATCAATGGCCACTAAAGGACCACATTGCAGAAAGTTGGAAATCGTGAGAAACGGTACGACAACACCACATCCGTAATACGCTTTACGGAAATGTGTGTACATATGGTACCGAACGGCATATTTTTTTCTATCAAAATCTAAATGCAAGTCGTCATAAGGATAGAATTCAGAATTGAGATAAAGTTTCACATTGGTCAACTGACAGTGATCGAATCGCGTGACATCTGCTGACATATCGTTTCTTCGAGCAGTCTGTAGCGCAAATATGACGTATCTCGGTTTCTCAAGTTGTGTCGTCGTTTTTACGGCCCACGAGTGTTTAGTCATGCTTTGTAATAATGGAAACTCATACAGATCCCACGAGCGGAAACTCATGGTCAAATACTGTTCGCTTTCCAGAGTTCGTAGCAGCGAGAGCTTTGTGACATCGTTCAATACTACATGTGGCATTCGCTATTGTATTTTAAATAATTCAATTTTTCCATCTAATGCTTCACCATCTACCTCAGAAACTGCTGTTATGCAGTTTTTGTCGTTGCGCGATCGTATTAAAATTCATGACGTGCATTGATAACGCTTGTAGTTTTTGCAAAATTTTAATATCATGCTGAGAGGTACGCAGAAACTAAAGTAACTATCTACGTCCGTATGTTGTGTAATATCCCATCCAGCATTTTTCATGGCCATGCTTTTATCATGTGTTAGCGGTATATAGTTTTTGATCGTGCTAGTTATTCCAACGTTTCTATTACGATCAATCTCCATATCATTGAGTTCATAGCGAATCTCATCGAACATAAAAGGCACACAATTATTACCCAGAAATACTTCTTCTTCGTCTTTCGTCGGTAACCTCATTTTTCCTTCGACGTAAGGAAAACTTTGACACGGTAAAGTGTACAAGTCCTGCTGTTGTATAGATATGCGTATCTCATCACTGTGTTCAAATGTTGTGTTCACGTACGGATTGTACGTGTGAGTTTCAATCTTAACGATGCGATTGTCAAAGATCGGCTCACCTCCAACGTTTAAAATGTCGCACATATTTTCAAAATTCTCGTACAATAAATCCCAACGATTGTAAAAATTCAACGTTTGTTGAACTTAGCTTCTTCCGATTACTGTACGTCGTAGTAGTAGTAGTAGCAGGTGTTTGTAATGAAAACTTTTTTTTTTATGAGGGGAAATGCGTTATGCACCCTAGCCCTGTGGAGATTTGGGCGAAGAGTGTGGGACTCGCACCCACTAAAACCTCTCAATAGCCTCCACCGGACTCAGTGTGGGAGCCTGTGGCAGCCAAAAGGCTATTACTTCTCCAGGCCCGCCCTAGTCCAAGACTTGTCTTTAAAGGACAACGCCTTCTATCACCGTTGCCTTTGGGGTTCCAATCTGCGGTTCCAAAAGTATGATCCAATCAGAAGTGATTATCTCTCAACCGTTGTGCAACTTTTGAGTTGTCTGAACGCACCCATTCTTACCTATGATAGGTCTGTTCTTTTTCCATACTGTGGCTGCACTAGTTCACAGTCTATTTTTTTCCTTTTAATATAGCTAAAAAAAATAGACTGTGAACTAGTACAGCCAAAGTATAGAAAAAGAACAGACCTGATAACTACTGTTTCAACACAACAGTGGCCTTAATTCTTGAAAAACTTTCGTATACAAAACTCTATTGTTAATGTCACATGTACTATAAACTTTTGTAAGTTCCAACGTAACCGTCTTCACGGAAGCATCGTTTCTCGGTCTTTTTCAATTGACAACATAATTTTTTGATTTTAAGCAAAGCAAAGCATAGCATATGTTTTTGCTATAATAGTCTTTGTATCTACATTCTGATATAGACTGGCGCTTTTGCCATAATATTCTTTATATATACTTTTGACATATTTATTACTTTTACATATTATACTTTTGACTTATATTTAAGAGTTTAAGTAAAACTTGAGCTTATCTTGAGATACTCTGTAGCCAATCAAATGACTTGTATAACATCTTAAAATAAATTTCAGTTTTACTTAAATATAAGTCGTGACTAGGAGTAACCGATCTTAGTACATATATTATGTTTAATACATATATTGCTTTTATTAATACATATATTGCTTTTAATACATATATTACTTAGTACATATANTGACATAGTTAACGTGGTAGATTCTCNCTGTATCTGATTACATAACTTCTTTCTGTTTAAAAATTATCACTTGTACATAACACTATTGTGCTTCTTGAGATAGTTTTCAGTTATTTCATAGTTAAANNANTCTACATTGTTTTGTCTCATGNACACTCTAGTCACACATATCCCATTNAGAGTTTCAGAGCCCATTCTANTAGCTTTCTTGTTTTTTNTGTCCGTCACGATCGCAAATACNCTTTCAGACTCAGCGTTTGAATGAGGAAGACATATAACACATCTGGCTAGTTTTGTCAGCTGCGGGAACTTTAATTCATCCTGATAATCACGGAGAGTAGCAACCTCGGTCCAGAAGTCATCGGGTTGCATTTTAACAAGACGCTCTTTTATTTGAGGCTCTAGAGCATATGGAAGTAAACGCCACTCTATAGCTAAGATATTCTCTTCTAGATCCAGAATTTTCTGTAACATCAGAAATTCAACATTTGTTAGAATATTTATAGTCTGTCTACTTATGCAAATAGTGTT